CCCCCCTGTTTCTGCTCGTTTGAACAGAGTAATTGGGTAACATTTGGAGTTAATGGTCACTTCTTTAATTTCTATTAAACAAAGAGAAAGAAAAGAGAGGAATTAGATTTGGCATACCCGAAGCGAGAAAGAGGAAGTACCCAAAACGAGGAAGAAACGTGATTGAATGCAGCGCTGATGGAAATTGGGAGATTTGAATTGTTTAGTTTACAATTTACATCAACGCTGCACTCAATGACGTGTCTTTCAATCTGGGGTTTGATAATTCTGTCTCTGTTGGCGATGGCGTGGCGTCCACTGCCTTAAATGGTGGATGTGGTGCAGTACAAGTAACAACTCTTGGCTGCCTAGTTGTATTGGTTTGTACTGTCCACATTTTCAACGTTCTTTTTTTGAATAATGAATTTTGATATTTAATGGATTGGTTAAGGACTAAAGTTAGATTTGTACTACTTTTTATTTGTACTAGAAGCTAGCTTGTACTCCCATATTGTTGAAATATATGTGTCCCCAATTAGATGGGTTTCTTTCTTTCGGATTAAAAATTTGAAAGGGGCGAGCGAGATTCTCACCAAACGAGGCGTTCGTACAACCCATTTTTCAAATTTGTAGTGGGGATTGGAGATCGGACATTATTGGAGAAAATGATGCTACAAATTTGTGTCAACTTCAAGTGATATCTCAAAGCTGGTCTTGTAAACTTAAATTGATGCGATGAATTTGTGTAAACTACAAATGTTAATGAATGTGAATGTTAGAGACATTTCTTTGACATCCGACTTTTTTATGTCTATCAATTCGATATCCACTTTTGATGAAACATTAAAAAAAAATAACAAAAAAGCAACAAAATGTCACTTAGGTAAACAAAATTTTAATTTATTTGAAAAGTGTAAAATATTTGTTTATTAATTTAAATATTTATTTAGTGATTTTTTTTTAAATTTTATGATATTTTCAAAAATATCTATGGACATTTTTACAAAATTGGGATATTGACGTTTTCGTAGACATCAACCTTTTAAACATGAGAGAGACGATGGAGTAGAAGTTGGAGAAGTATTTTAAATGATCTTTTCATGAGATTAGATGTTCAAATTTCTAATACCTATATTTATTGTACCCACCGCTTATTTTGTTTTTAATTTTTAAAAATTTACTTAAAACTTTAAATATATTTTTCAAAATTTAAATCCACCAAATAAATAAGTTGTCAAACAACTTTGCTTTAAAGGACACTTGGGATTTTTTAAATTTGTTGAAATGGGAGCTTTCATGTGATTGATAAGAGAGAATCAATGGAAGAGCTTTATGCGTACCTTTGGATTAGGAAAACAATGCTGAATTTTGCTTGTTGTAAGGAGAATAACATAAAGGAAAAAATTTTGTAACAAAGGGAAATAATATTCTTTTTTACTATACCTTTTCAATAACTCATATTTACAAAATTTGTTATATACTAGTATAAATAATCAATTAAAAAAATTTCTAATATCTTATTCATAATTTAGTAAAACGAAGTTAACACAATTGTTGCCGAGGAATCCTGAGAAAAAAAAAAACACTTGTAATAAATGAATTTGTATCTTATTTATAAGTGTTATAATCTCTAATTTATAATATTCTTCTCATGTTTTTTTGTCAGATGTAAACTTTAATTTAATGATTTAATGGGGTTTATGAGCTTGTTCTTGAATTATAGATATTGACGCCTTCAGCTTTTAGCTTGTTGAAAGATATTTGAGGACTTCGGCTTGTTGATGAAGTTCTTAGGCTTATAACTTAATGAAGTTCTTCGACTTCTTGAAGTTCATCGGCTATGCAGCTTGATGAAGTTCTTCGAGTTATAGCTTCTTGAAATTCTTAGATTATTAGCTTAATGAAGTTCTTCGGCTTGTAATTTTATACATGTTTTTCGAGTCTTTAATGCTTCAAGTCTTCAACTCTGGTAGCTCTCCGTGACACTGAATGCTTGGAGGGGACTTTGAATTCTTGTGGATGCTTTTGAATCCTCTTGATGACTCTCAATTCCAATCCTCCTCCATCCTTCTAAATTCTTTTGAAATCTTCTCTCCTCGGATGTGACATTCCTCTATTTATAGAGTTTTGGTGGGTCTTGCATAAGCCTTCTTTCTCATGGGTTTAATGAGTTTGAGTCAAATTTCTACATTGGTTGATCAAATTAGTTGATACCATCGATCATAAAAAAAGACATGTGGCATAATTTGACTTTCCGATTTTATAATTAATTTAAGACATAAATAAATTTGTGATTGATCCTAAATATAATTAAAAAATACTGACGACACATTTAATCATTGCTAAAATTTTATCATGGTAACAACAATATATTAATAATTTAAAAAATGGAATCAAGGATAGAGTTTGGGAGGTCGTGGGAAATGCGTATCATGTTCTTGGAGCGGGGACCCAACCTTGAGGGAATTTTTGTCATCCCTCAAGTAGACACGTGAAAATAAAAGTTCAGAGAGATTGAAAGAAATTTTTTAAAGATAAATTTTAGATAGAGTAAATTTAGCAAGGGAAAAGAAAAAAAAATTAGAGACAAAAATTGAAAATTTTAGTGATAGTAAATTTGAGAGCAAAATAAGAGAAAGAAAAATAAAAATGATAATAAGAAACTAATTTTAAAAAAAAAGTTATATATGTTTGTTAGAGAAACTAAATAAATTAAAAGAGAGAAAAATTATAGTGAAATAAAATTGAACCCGAAAAGGATTTTGATAAAAAAAAAAAGGTTGGAGACATATTTTCTTAAAAAAAAAAATTAGAAAGAGAAACAGAAATTATAAAAGATAAAATTTAAATGTAAAAATTTTTGGAAAATATTAAATTTTTAGGATGGGTAGATTGAAAATGATAAGTTAGAAAAAAGAAATAAATAAAAATATAATAAAAATAAAAATTTTAGAGGGAGAAAGATAAAATTTTTAGAAAGAGAAATTTAAGGTCTGAAAAAATTTTTAGAGTGAGAAATAAATTTACTAGGTAACAAAAATTGAGGGGAAAAAAAAGAAATTTGCTTTCAAAAATTATTTTTTAAAAAACTGTTTTTATAGAAGAACATTTATTTAGATTTTCAAACACTTTTTTAAAAGTCAGAAAGTAAAAAATTGAATCGACAGGTCTGTTTTTCAAAAATAAAAAAGGAAACGGTTATCTAACGTCCCTTAAATTATTTATCTCATTCATGTTTAGTCGATTAGAATTAAGCGAGCAATATATTAA